CCCCTGGGATATTTTCCAAAATGAATCCCCTTAGGTCTGAGCTTGATGTGTTGAGAGTTTGGGTTTTGCTGGTTGTCGTCATTGTACTTCTGTAATCCTTAGGGATTCAGAGGATGCCATTAAGGTTTCTTTACCCGGAGTTTGTCATTTTCCCTTTTTTTTCTATCAAAGATTGTTTCTCTGGTTTTGAACTTGGGTTTACACAGTGGCCCTCAACACATCGAAGACTTGACAAGGTTTTAGTGGCAAAATTGACTTCTTTCCCCTGAGGTTGTAGTCCCTCAAATAGTAGTTGGGTCTTTCCATGCACGAAGTCCCTAAGCGAATTCCCACAGTAGCTTTGTTACCTGCCTCCCCCACTGGTCAGAGTTGCTCATCCAATTCACGGATCAAAGGATGTGTCTGACTGGATAGGAACGATCCAGTCGGGAACTGTTGCCCCGTGCTCTTGATGATGACACACATGCGTGAGATACACGCATTCAGGGTCTGCTTGCATCTTGCTCGATGCAGGAGTGAAAGCATAGTGCCATACATGACCAGTGCTGCCCTTGGGTACCAGGCAGCAGGTTTGTGTTGGGGGCAGGCCCAGGGTGATTGATGGCCAAATCTGGAAATGTTCTTTGAGACGCTGAAACAGGGGTGACAGACAGGGTTACAGGGCAGCCTATTGACCTGAATGGTACCTACTGACACTATTTTATTTCTACGTTGGTCATTCTTTTACCTAATAGAGTCATTAAGATCACCTTAATAAGATGTTCTACCCGTACCAACCTTTATCTTAAAGAGTTCACAAATTTTGTTTTTAACCACTTTTAGGCAGCATCTCAGCAAAAATAATGGTAGTGGCCACCTGCCATCTTGAGGGACAGAGTGTCCATAACATTAGCATCAGGTAGGATGACGGGTCAGGGCAGCGTTGATTTGCAGACGGAGCCTGGCTTTAAAGTGTAACTGCTCACCTACCTCTCCCCGGAGTCTTGTTCAACTCTTCAGATAGCTGATTGCTCATCTATACGTGGGTTGTTGATTGATGGCGTCAACATGGTTTGCTCCCCACCAAATAATCCGTGTGCCCCTGTTTCATGTCTGTGGCCCTGGGCCGTTGGTCCCGTAAGGTTTCGCATTTGTCGAAAGCACGTGACCCACAGTGACCCAGCCTCCCGTGGTGGTGGTCGAGTTTTCTACCCGCACGGATGTCTTCATCCAAGCTCTCCCTCCTCTCGCGTTTCCTACACATCTGTGTCACGCTAGGTGGCTCTCTTCCTTCAAGACTGAGAAAACGCAGTACACTTCCAACCAGCTCTTTGAGAGTTGGGGCCCTTTGCTGGGGCGGAAGGGGACATTGGCAATGACTTCCCTCCCGCCCACTTAAGCAAAGTAAGGCCCTAGGAAATGCAAGTCCAAGGGAGCTGGGCGTCTTCCCTGAGCCCCTGGCACCAGAGGAGAAACATGACCAGCCCGGTGGGAAGCCCGGTGGCGGTGACAGTCCCGACCTCTCACGCCGCCACCGCCCGCGAACGCCGAGCCCCTCCCGGCGGGCTTCGGCCTAATGCTGCCAGTTTCTTTTCAAGATGATGACTACTCGCCGCCCACTAAGAGACCAAAGAGCAGCGAGCCGCCGCCGCAGCCGCCGGTCCCCGAGCCCTCCAACGCTGGGAAACGGAAAGTGAGGGAGTTCAACTTCGGTGAGTGTTCCCCTCCACAAAATCTCTCTCTCTCTCTCTCTCTCTCTCACTGATTAAAGACATTACAGCTTTGGTTTGGGGGAGAAAACAGCTGTAGCATGCCTTACCAGTTGCTGGTGCTGCAGCGCGGGGTGACCGCCCACCCCCGTCACAGTAGAACCGTGTTTCCTGAGGCTTCTAGGTGGACAGTGGGCTCCTCTGACGTCATCGCAGCTGGTGCACTAAATCTGGTGACTGGTGACAGAAACGGGTGACGGTGACTGTTGATGGAATGAGCTCTGTTCTCTTGGAAACCCTTTTTTATTTTGTTTCCCCTTACAACACTGGTTTCCATAGAATCCCTGTCCTTTTGTGATGGGTTAATATCACATCACATCATCGTCTCCAGGTCCAGCCATGCCTTGAGGTGCTGCATGGGTTTGTCGTTGTTTTTAGGGGTTCCCTTGTGTGTATACCAGTTCCTAAATCCCTTCTTCATGAAGGACACAACCCCTGAATGTTTCTGCTCTGTGTAACTGCCAGTTACTAGGTTGCCCATATGATATTGATATGTATTGTTTATGCATTTGATTTAAGACATCTCAGCTAGTTATAGATTCCATTGGACACAGAAAAAGGAAAGAAAACAACTTTACTGTCATCTAGTGAATTATGACTCAGCCTGTAGAACAGGGTAGAACTGCCCCTGTGGGTTTCTAAGACTGTAACTCTTTATGGGAGTAGAAAGCAGCCTCTTCTTTCTACTGATGGTTTTGAACTGCTGACCTTGCGGTGAGCGGCCCAACGTGGAAGCACTGTAGCACCAGAGCGCCCCATCCCACTGGAAGGGGTTCATATTTTTGGAAGTTATTTTTGTGGCACGTAGCTTGAGAAAATAGCACATTGAACTCATCACATAGAAATGGTGTTTGAATGTTCTTATGTTAGTCTCAACCTCAGTACTGGGTAAACGTGGAACTTTAGAGCTACAGAGTTGACATGTATTCAGCATGCTATTGTGGAAGCTGCAGAGAATGTGTGTGAGTGTGTGTGTGTGAGAGAGAGATCTTTATTTCTTCACAAACCAGACGTATTTTGTAGGAAGTTTCATAGGTGGTCCTGAGAGGCTTTGATTTAATTTTATTTTTTGCCTCTGTCCTGCAATGTTTAATAGAACAAAATAAGCCGCCCTGGTGGTGCTGTTGGGGAAGCCTTGGTCTGTGAAAGACCAGGCCGGCAGTTCAAAGTAAGCAGCCCAGCCCCAGGAGACCGAGGAGGAACCCTACGCAGTGTCGCCGTGAGTCCGAACGGACTTGGCGGCAGTGCCTTTGATTTCAATTCTCGTTTATTTCTACCTTCTGCTTTCCAGAAACACAGAGCTTTGACAATAATCCTGAAACCATGACATGCTGTCTCCTTGAACTAATGCTGAAAACCACAAAAATGGGAAGCGTTGGTCAGAAATAGCAAAGTGTGCATGCAGGCTGAGGCGGACCGGTCAAGATCTAAGTGTGTTCTGTAGCAGGCACGCCTTCCTTGTTGGGTGGTGCTCTGAGCACACCGTGCTAGTGACCCCAGCAGGACCTATCACCACGAGTGAACTCTTTCTCCATTTTCAGAGAAATGGAATGCTCGCATTACTGATCTACGCAAACAAGTCGAAGAGCTGTTTGAAAGAAAATATGGTACGTCTGAATTCCCACGTCCATTTACTACTGAAACCTAGTCCATAAGCTTCTAAACAATGGGGTGGCTCTTCCCTGTTTGAGGAAAACATGGACAGGGCCACGTCGGCCAGTGGGTTGAGTCTTTTCTTACCTACCTTTGCTTTTATAAGTTTCATTATAGTGTCTGTCTAACCACTGTCAATCTTTCTTGCCTGGTAGGTTGCCACAAAGCGAATTAAGAGCTCTGTGTATTTTTAGACCTTTCACTGTGACAGAGCAAATGGGTTTTCCATCCACAGCCCATAGACACGCTAGTTGCTGACCCTGCCCTTAGCCCCACGAAGCAGCAGCCCAGCATGGGCCTGCACCCTCCCGTGATTGCCGGGCCCCTGGCTCTGCTCGTGTCCCCCTGCTGCCTTCAGAGCGTTGCTTTTAGGCAGAAGGCGCCCTTTTGGTCTCTTAGGATTGGTTGAGCATTCTGTGCCTCCCTGTTGCGATTGGGTCCTTTAGAGACTTGTCTGTTGTTTTTCTGAAAGTTGGTATTTAAGAGTGGGCTCCAGCCAGCTAGAAGGCTATGTAAGGGCCGTAGTGGTGGGAGGAAACACAGAAACATTTTGAATGAGCCCCCTTTTTATTTTCAAACTGTTTTCGGGTTACACATCCAATGTTGCAGAAAGCACCGTTCTCATAACGTTCCAATCTCTCCTCCTCTGCCAACCCCTCCCCACGGTTTCCCCATTCCTGCCCTGGACAATTCCTGGGCAGGGTTCACGACAGCTCATGGCCCGCTGCTGATCCTGTGCGATGAGAAGGCGTCCCTGGTTGCACTAGGGTTCCCTCTGGGTGGTGACAGCATTTTCCACATGAGGTTTGAAGTACTGTTAGTGCCTTGCCAGCCTTATTTACACGAAGTTTTTAACATGAGAAAGCACACCTGGGGATTCCTTACTTGCGTAAATTAAAAATGAGCTTCCCTCCTCCACTATGGGAAAGAGCCTCATCTTCCTTAGAGATCGGAAGTCAGAGGAAGGTTCCTGAGGAATACAGGACACTGTGCACGTGTGCCAATCATCTCCTAAAGCTCTGCTTGGCAGGCCTCACTTTCAATAGGGAAAGTCTCTTTTTTATTAAGAGAGAAAAAGTGTGGTTTTCGTTTTTTGACTAGTTCTACTGGCTTATGCTTCACATATCATATAGTTTAATAGTTCAGTCACATTAAGATTTGTGCAATCATCACCACAGTCGATTTTCAGAACATTTTCTTCTTACACCCATTGTTGGTTCCACCCCCGCCGTGCCTCTGCCCAGTTACTATCTCTGAAGCTCCACCTACCCTAGATTTCCTATACAGAAATCATACGCAGCACCGGCTGGAATCAAGCAAACCAAACAACAATGACCAGACATAAAATAGGAAAATCTCAATTAAAAAGGAGGCAGAAAATATTAAAACTGAAACAACTTTAGGGCGCGTCTAAAGGATGATCAGATGATCAGGTATTACATTTTAGCCCAACTCTAATGGCCTAATCAGTTTCACATGCTCTCTGTGAGCCAGGCTGTTCACATCCAGTGACAATGGGCAGAAGGGATTTGCCAGAGGCTTCATCCATGTGGGGACCCTACAAATGGATTTGGGGCGTCCACTGTCAACCATAGCCTTGTGCACATGGGCGTTCACAATCTGAGCTCAGGTGCCATTCCCGCGTCCAGATTTAGATTGTATTACTTACAGGCCTTGGATCAAGCAGGCTGGCGTGAAGAGAGAACAAGTTTCGTTGTGGTCAACATAGAAAAAGCATTTGGCAACTCAACTTTCCCCCCCAGATGTATACCTGATAGGCGTGGGGCTTGCCCATTACGCTTTGCAGCCTTCATCCCTGTCTCTTAGCCAAATTATTTCCCCCCGTTGACAGAATCTCGTGAGCCCTGAGCTAAGACTCCCCCTTTTCTTTTTGTGGCTCACTGTGGTAGGCCACCTGTACGTTACCTCTTCTCGGTGATTCCACAAAGTGCGTCATGCAGTGTTTTGTGACTGACATAGATCCGAACGTGGTTTCTTTCGGCAGAGGGATACTCGTGTGTGTATCTGTGTGTGCCACGTTTTGTCTCTCCTTTCTTTGTTGATGGACGTTTTGCCTACTGTGAGTCTCATTACCCTGACTATCAGTCTGGACATTTCTGTCTGTCTTTCTGCTTGCGTGTCTTTGGGGAACATAGGAGAAGATAGCTGGGCCTCGGGCTGGTTTTTCTGCCCAACTTGTTCCAGCAGCTATGCCACTTTGCATTGCCACCAGCAACAGAAAAGGTTTGTTTCTTCACATCGGCATCTCTCACGGTTATTTCTGGATGTTGTTTGTGTTTTGGATCCTTGCCAGTCGAATGCACTTGAATCTTTATTAGTGTGTGTGATTGTTTAGCAACAAAGCTGTTACATTCAATACTTGCAAAAAGTGGAACTTGTCTGAGACCCCTTGGATGAGGAAGACGGGGCGAGAGGGTCTGAGTAAACTTGTCCTTCTCTTGGGACCTCCCGGGCTATGCCAGCAGCAGCTTTCTGCTCTAGGTTAAAGATAACGCGTCTTAGACACACACACACACACCCGCACCCCCATGATAGTCACCACACAAGAGCCTCTGAAATACTCGGCCGTGCCCCTGCTGTGCGGTCACTGAGACACCGCCTCCGCTGATGGTCAGATGGGGCCAGCTTGTGGTGGACCTGTCGACCCCCAGACCAGCCTGACGGGCCCAAGTGATGGCGTCTCAAAATCCCTTTTATTAAGAGAGTCTGCAAACAAACAGAAGCAGGGGCCCCAAACCTGCCGAGTGCCCGTCGCCCCAGTTGGGTAGCACCTTGCCTTCTGGCCTTTCATGTCTTCTCCCTCTGCGCGCGACGATGACGTCGGGATGTTCCCCAACTCTCTCCATCCAGGTGTGCTGCCATTCACTTCTCAGGGGGTGCAGCTGAAAACGGGGCACAGGAAGGGGTGGCTTTTGGGAACTTCAGTGTTGTTGTCACCCCTGAAAGGTTGTGCTTTACATCCTCCAAATGGAAATGTTCTCTGTCGTGTATGACAACCATGCTTTTTATAGTCTCCAAGGCCGACTTCCTGACACCTGGCTGCGGAGATTCCTCACGCCTTGGGGTTTGTGTTGCAGCTGTCAGATTCTTGGCTAAGTAAGTCTTAGCAGATGGTCTGCAGTTCAGGGAAATCTTCTGCTTCTGTGACTTAAAAACAATGCTTTGTAAGTTCTAAAGTTGGACCTAATGGTTATGTTGTTTTTAAGCTGCTCTGACAATTATATATATAAACTTGAGAATTAGCCGGGTCCACCCGGGGTTCAGATCTTAATACGCAGTGTTTCTACATGATGGTCCTATCACGGATCCATCATTGCTGTTTGGACCATTTGATTATTGGCCTAGAGGATGTCCTTTCCGCTTTAGCTGTTTTGTGCTGTAACTACAGACGTAGAGGCAACAATGTCACGAGTCTAAGAGGAAGTCCATGGTGTTTACTTAAGCATCTTTGCTGATGTTTATCTCCTCTCTTTTTCTCTTGACCTTGAAGCTCAAGCCATCAAAGCCAAAGGTCCCGTGACGATCCCGTACCCCCTTTTCCAGTCGCACGTGGAAGACCTCTATGTCGAAGGCCTTCCCGAAGGCATCCCCTTTCGAAGACCGTCCACTTACGGGATTCCCCGCCTGGAGAGGATCTTGCTTGCGAAGGAGAGGATCCGCTTTGTGATTAAGAAGTAAGACCCTTGGACCCTTACTTAACTCTTTATCTTGCTTCTTTTTAGGGTTCTGCTTTGGTTGCTGGGGGTAGAAAAAGAAAGAAACCAACTTCCTTCCTTACTCGAGGGCTGGGTTTGCTGTAAGCACGTCTGCCTCCTCCCCTGTAGGCGGGATCTTTATACTGGCCCGTGGCCCCCGGGCCAGAGTTAGCTGTCGAGGCACAAGCCCCGGGTGGGTGCACGCACAGCTCTCCTGTCTTTCGATGGTCGACTCCGTGGCTAAAATGGTAGTCCACCGTCAGCGTCTTCTTTTGAAGTCCAAAGTTTGTAAGACAGCACAGGAAAGAAAGCACCGTGGCTGTAAAATTCGGCGTTACAAGAGTGGGACAATAAAGGAGTGGGGAGAAAACTAATTGAAAAAGGTGAAGTGTAGCTGTTGGGATGGGAAGTGGTGATGTTTCCCTTTTCACTAAGTGGCAGCTTCCTCCCTCGGTGTTACATTGTCTCCCACTTTCAGGAGGTGCACAGTTACAATGTCAGAAAACCAAGACGTGATTATCCAAATGTCAGCTGGAGTAGGGTCTCTGCAAACCTCCCATTGTGTTCATAAGATAGGTATTCTTCCAAAGGGGGAAGGATTGAAATGTGTAGTTTTCGAGTAAGCTAGCGAATAAATTTGTTAACCAAACTGTTTCCTGTCGGGGCTAGGAGAATGTCAGTCTTGCCAGAAGAAAGCATGCAGATTGTAAGCGTGGCAGGAAGTCTGGACCGAAGAAAGAAGATGTAGCCCCGATCTAGTGACCCCTAATAAGCATTAAGGAAAACGGAAGCACTAGGCAGGATAAATCAGAGGTCAACAAAGATATATACCGAGTCACATGGTAACACCCCAGGACCCCAGTCGTCGGGTAATGTCCAGATACCCACGGTTACAGGTGAAGAAAACCCCCTTGGGGTTGAGAGAGAACAGGAGCCCGGCCCTCTGTCAGGTGAAGATGCCCCACACAACCAGCTTCCCTGCGCAGCAGCTGCAACAGTGGTTTCCCAAAGTCGCAGGGAGATGGCTGTGCACCTCAGATTCTGTATCCACAGAAGTAGGCTTCTTTTGTTTCTCGTGTTCATGTGCTGAGCATGTCACACGGTGGTCCCTGTGTGAGTATTTGTTCACTCTGCGGAGACATTTCTGAATATCTGTTTTCCACACATCGCAGGAAAGAATTCTGCAGGTTTCCCCCAAAGGTCCATGTCGTTAGTCTAGATATAACCCTTTGATTATTCAGAAGTGCGAGTCTGTAGATTTTGGACAAACTGTTAACTGTTTCACAGTCGACGATCCTTGCCCAAATGCTGTGTCCGAGACCTGGGCATAAACGCCTGTGTCCATTCCCACGGTCTCGATGACCTCGGCTTGGTGGGTCGGTCTGATCTACGCCCCCTCTCGCTACAAAGTGAATGACAAATAGCAAAACGGAGTGAGAATGAGATGGCAAAGGTAGATGGGACAAAGGCTGTGCTGTATTAAATGATGTTTATGGGCTACTCAATTATTAAGAAACATAAGACACATACAGGTAGTCCCAACTTTCTTTGTGTAAAGCACATTTGTACTTTCGTTGCTCTCATCATTCTCAAAACATTTACTCTCCACTTAAGCTCCTGGCATCAGCTCCTCATTTTCCCCCCTCCGTCCCTGCTCCCCCGTTCCCTCGTGATCCCTTGATAATTTATAAATTATTATTTTGTCATGTCTTACACGGTCCGACATCTCCCTTCACCCACTTTTCTGTTGTCCGTCCCCCAGGGAGGAGGTTATATGTAGATCCTTGTCATCGGTTCTCCCTTTCCACCCCACCCTCCCTCCACCCTCCCAGTGTCGCCACTCTCACCACGGGTCCTGACGGGATCTTCCGTCCTGGGTTCCCTGTGTTTCCAGTTCCTATCTGTACCAGTGTACATCCTCTGGTCTAAACAGAATTTGTAAGGTAGAATTGGGATCATGATAGTTGGGGGGTGGGGAGGAAGCATTTAGGAACTAGAGGAAAGTTGTATGTTTCATCATTGCTACACTGCACCCTGACTGTCTCGTCTCCTTCCCGGGACCCTCTGTAAGGAGATATCCAGTAGCCTATAAATGGGCTTTGGGTCACCACTCCGCACTCCCCCCATCATTCACTATGATATGATTTTTTATTCTTTGATGCCCGATACCTGATCCCTTTGACACCTCGTGGTCACACAGGCTGATGTGCTTCTTCTATGTGGGCTTTGTTGCTTCTGAGCTAGATGGCCACTTATTTACCTTCAAGCTTTTAAGACCCTAGACACTATATCTTTTGATAGCTGGGCACCATCAGCTTTCTTCACATTTGCTTATGCACCCACTTTGTCTTCAGCGATTGTGTCGGGAAGGTGAGCATCATGGAATACCAGGTTAATAGAACCAAGTATTCTTGCATTGAGGGAGTACTTGAGTACTGTACATGCCTAATGTCCATCTGCTACCTTAATACTAAACCTATACATATATGCGCATAGATCTATTTCCACATCCTCATAAATATATTTACATATGTACATGCCTTTACTTAGACCTCTATAAATGCCCTTTGACTCAGCTCTTTTCTCTATTTCCTTTTACTTTCCTCTTGTCCCACTATCATGTTCAGCCTTCATTTGGGTTCCAGTAATTCCTCTTGGTTACATTGCCCTTGATCACACCCTACCAGGCCTCCTACAGCCTCCTCACCACTGACTTGGATCACTTGTTATTCCCTTGTCCCTGGGCTTGTTAACACCACTTCCTTTACCCCCACCTTACCCTCTCCCATGTCTCCCCGGAACTGCCAGTCCTGTTGTTTTCTCCTCCAGATTGTTCATCCAGCCTATCTTATTTAGACAGACCTGTGGAGATAATAACATGTACAGAAACAAGACAGAGCAAAACCAAGCAACAAAATAAAATAAAACAACATCAACAAGCCAATGACATAAGACAAAACAAAACAAGAAAGAAAAGCTTGTAGTTAGTTCAAGGACTGTTTGTTGGCTTTTTTGTTTGTTTGTTTGTTTTGTTTGTTGGCTTTTAGGAGTGTTTTCCAGTAGAGTCTGATGGGGCACCAAGCCCTGGCTCCAAAGTCTCTTTTTGGTATTCCCTGGGGACTTCGTTGCTCTGTTCCCCTTGCTGTTCTGTTCCACGTCCTTAGTCTAACTTTCTATGTTATTTGAATTATGATAAGCCACCCTTATGACTGCCTGGCTTTGGTTGATTGATGATTTACATCAGTGTTTCCCAAGGGGGTGACATTGGGAAGATCCAAGCAGGGCCTGCAAAAACAAACACCTACACTTTATCCTGGATTATGGGCGACTGTGCAAAAATTTCTAATTGCCAGAGGGGCGCTGAGTAATTTTTTTTTCTGAACAAGGGGCAGAAATCAAAAGAAGTTTGGCGACTGAGATTCACGCCTTATTCTTCATAACATGTTCTGCTTACAAGGTCGCAGTGTGTGACTTGCCTGTGTCAGCATTGTCGTATGACAGTGGTCAGAACCCTGCTGTATAGACAGCCCTGTCTGAAATGACGTTGGCATCGGGCGTGGTAACAGGCGGAACGTTGGACACAGGACAGCAGAACGTTGAGTGCCCAGCAGCCACTACAACTCCAACATGGTCGTTACAACACCGAGGCTAACTTGGTTGTAGATTGGGCGCGTTGTGGGTTCGTTCAGTGCTTTGTGTCATAAGAAGCGTCAGTTGTTAATCTGAGGCCCGACTTGTTCAAGCTCTAACTGTGATACCTGCACTGCTTGTACCCCCAACGATACGTCTAGCGAAAGAAGGCATGCCACTGAGAGCTTACGTCGAAAAAGGAAGGCGAGGAAGACTCTAGACATGGACATAAAGATGAAGATCATCCGGGCCTATGACGACGGGAAGAGAGTCGGCGAAATCGCCCGGGAGGAAGGGCTGTCGCATTCCACTGTCTCGACCATCCTCAAGGACAAGAGCCGGATCCTGGAGGCAGTGAGAGGAGCGGTGGGCATCAAGGCGACCATCTTAACCAAGAAGAGGCGGGGGCCCATCCCCGCGATGGAGAGTCTGCTGCGCGTCTGGATGGAGGACCACATCCAGAAGGGGATCCCGATGAGTTTGCTCATGATCCAGGCGAAGGCACGGAGCCTTTTCGAGACCCTGAAGGGGCAGCGGGGGGAAGACTACAGCGAGTACTTCCGGGCCAGCAAGGGCTGGTTCCATCGCTTCAAGCGCCGGCTGGGTTTGCACAACGTGCGCATCACCGGGGAAGCCGGAAGTGCCTGCATCGAAGCTTTGGAAGCGGAGCGCGATCCCTCAAAAAGCTTCACCGTGAAGGGATTAGCTCAGGCTTTCTCGAAGCTCAACGAGGGGCTCCAGTTGCTGGAAAACATGGAGCCAAACGCGGATCACTTTGCCAACGTCGACAGGCAGATCCGGGAAGCGGTGCGGGGTTACCACGAAATCTATGAAGAAAAGAGGAAAGGGCCCGTGCAGGCCGCTCTCAGTAACTTTCTGGCGAGAAACACTATCCCCTGGGACAAGCCAGAGGATCCAGAACCTTCCACCAGTGGAGTTATTACCACAGCCGACCAAATACCAGCATTGGCCAACTCCTCTCCATCGTTGGAGTAAATGTTTATGATTTGTGTCGTTTTTTAACTGTGTGTACGTGTGTATCTGTATTAAAACCTATATACCTGTAAGTTTATAGGTCGTGTTTCCAGCCCCACTCCAAAAAATGAAGATTGGATATATGAAGCTACTGGTAAACAAAACAATGGTGATAACAGACACCTCGCACCCCACCCCACTCCCCCCAACAATAAGGGAATTAGGCTTAAGTGGCTTGAACAAACAGCCTTATGTCAGAATCGGCAGGGGGAACCCTGTTGTAAGTTGAGGACTGGCTGTACATTGCCCGAAAACATGAATATTAAAATGTACTTGGGCCTGATTATAGATGCGTTGACGTAATGTTGTGTTGAATGTGATGTAAAATTAAAGGATCTTCATTTAAAACGTTGGTGATTTGCTCCCTTGGTGTTAAAAACTCCTTAGCAAAATACCGGCGGTCGACCAGGCACCTGTCTCGTCGCCCCTGTGCCCGGTGGTGATTAGCGTTGGCTTTTGTTACCCTTAGAATGCTCCAGACGCCGTGGTGTGTGTGTGTGTTGGTTTAAATCGGCACAAACAGCCACGATGCTGCTAACTATTGCCCAGTAAACACTTAATGCTTTCTCTCGCATTTCAGGCACGAACTTTTGAATTCCACCCGGGAAGACTTACAGCTCGATAAGCCGGCTTCAGGAGGTAGGTCTCCCAGTCACGGCAGAACTGTACGTCCGGCGGCCGTCTGCTATTTCCAGGAAAGAGACTCTTGGTGGTTTCTGTGTGTCCCTTTCTCCAGGCAGCCACATCTTTAACGTGCAAAGCTTAGGGACCCTTTCAGGAAAGTCCACGCCGTCCAAGTTCTTTTCTCTTAGCACCAAGAAGAATAAATGTATGCCAGTACCCTAAAAGGCACCTACAGCCCTTCCCTGGGTTGATCGAACTTACAAACCACGTCCGTTCTGCCTTTGAGACACAGTGTGTCTCGGCCATCATTGATTACACGGTTTGTTAATCTAGGTCCTAGCCGAGCAGTTACGTGTCAGACATAAGCGGCCCTCGGGCTGAACAAGAGGGCCGTGTGGTCCTGTACGCCTATGCGTGTAACCAAGGCCGCGGGAGGGGTTTGTCCCATGTGTCTTGAAGGCACTTCAGACGTGCGTGTGTTTTTGTTTCCTGTTGTTCCCTTCCTTGATTGTGTGCATTAGTGGGGTGGGTACTGACTGCTCGCCCGTAGGGGAAGCATCGCTTGACACTGTCGTAACTCCAAACGTACAGCCACAAAATTCCTTGAGAGCGCTGGGTGCCCCCTGTATGAAATAGCTCCTCATGTGGTCAGTTTTCTTCCCAATTTTGAATTTCGATTCATTCTTAAGATATTTGTTCGGTGTCAACACTCCGGACTCCTGGAAGTGTAGGGTCAGGTGCCAGGGTGGAGAGATAAACGGGGGTGGGGGGGGCTGCTTCTGTGGGTGGCCGTTTTAGTCTGCCCTCTCGGCCCCAGCATTGTGTGCTTAAGGAGCGCATTCTGAAATCGCAGCGCTGGGGTTTTAGCTGGAGGGCTGTGTGTCTTCTCACTGGCTGTTGCCCTCACAGTGAAGGAAGAATGGTACGCCAGGATCACGAAGCTGCGCAAGATGGTCGATCAGCTCTTCTGCAAAAAGTTTGGTGAGTCCACGTTCCCCTAGGGCCAAGTGTCGTGCCTCCTTGTGTTTCCACTTTTCTTCTCTGTCTCAAGAAAGCGAGTTGGACGTGACTCCCCTCGGCTGCCCGTCTCCCGGGCACGTGCGCATTTTAACATGCATTGGTTAGGGCACGTTCAAACCGACATCTGAGTGGTGGGCAGCAGTAGCTTCGTGAACCCCCAGGTCTCCTTTGGGAAGCAATTTTATATTTATATATATATATATATACATACACATACAGTCTAGGATGAATACATACATACATACACATACAGTCTAGGATGATGCCCCTGTCTGTTTCCGGGGTGTAGACTCTGCGTCTCTTTGGCCCTTGTAATGTAATCGTCTTCGAGCTGCCGTGTCGTCCAGGAGTGCCACAGGGGTGGCTGTGGCTGGAGTGCTGGTTCCACACCTGGGTGTTGGCAAAGGCCACCACCGGCAGCCTCCTGACCACGCAGCCAGCTCGTGTGGGCACCACCAGTCACGCAGAAGACACAGGTCCGCTCGGTACAGCAGCATCCTCCTGATACTCAAAACCTCTGCTGCGTTTAGCCTGCTTCTCGGCCGCAGTCCACAGAGCCAGCCGGCTCTTTCCATTGAGAAGGCTCTGGCACATTTCAGCGTGACTGCCTCTTGAGACGTCTGTATCTTGGCTTCAGCGTGAGAACGCCACAGCGGGCCTCGTGTCTTCCTCTCTCACTGGCCTTTGCTCTTTGACACCCTTCCCTGTGGCTTGGCCCGTGACTGTGGACTGCTGCTGTGGGGCGCAGGCCGGGACACGCTGTCTCCTTCCTTGCTTGGTTTCCCCCACAGGGGAACCAAGCCCATGTTGAGTAGTCTCTGTACCCTGCTCCAGAAAGTTCTCCTTGACACCAGGCTTGTTTCATCACTCGTGTATTTGGTGCATGTTCAGTCACATCCGGAGTATTGTTACTAATCCCCACACACCTCCAACTCCTTTCTCTCAGCCTGCCCAGTGGTGCCCCACTCTCCCAGGTGCTCGGTCCAAACGCCTGGGAGTGGCCCTTGATTGTTCTCCCTTTGCCGTCGTCCCATTGGCCAACGAGGCCGCCAGCTGGCTCTGCACTGCTGGCTGTCCTCCCAGAGCACGCACTGCCCCTCCCTTCATACTGACACCTGCACTTGGCCAGAGCCCCGAGCAGCCGCTGCACCTGCCCTTTCCGATGCACAGTGTGGGGGGTCTGTCTGTCTGCTTTTAAGTCGTCTAGGGAGCTTATTAGAATGAGGCCCCCATTTTTTGTTGTTCTGTTTTCTTATTTGAGCATTAGCTGTATGAAATATGAAACCACATTTCGGTATATCGTTTTTTTACACTTAAGATGGTCCTTCGGGCAGTGGACCAGCGGTTGTGGTTAAATTCATTGAATGCCCTGAGACTCAGTCTGCCGATTTGCTGTTGTTTGTTCAGCGGAGGCCTTGGGGAGCACTGAAGCCAAGGCTGTACCTTACCAGAAGTTTGAGGCGCACCCCAATGACCTCTATGTGGAAGGCCTCCCAGAGAACATTCCCTTTAGAAGTCCTTCATGGTACGGGATCCCCCGGCTGGAAAAAATCATCCAAGTGGGCAACCGAATCAAGTTTGTCATTAAAAGGTAGGATTCCAGTAAATAAACAAATATATGTATATTTTTAAGTAGGATCCCAGCCTGTCCTGGCCCACATCCTTTCTTCTAAAGCAACTCTTGCATGGGTGCAAACTGCCAGCTCCCCAGGCGGCCTGTCTGGGGCTCCACCGGCTCCCTGTCCTCCGGAGGTTTATCCCAAGGAAAAATGCTTTCCGCTGAGCTTCCCGGGATACTACGGGGAGGTGGACAGTGGTAGCCGGTGCAGCTTGGTCAGTTGGTGTCAGGTGCGCTGTCCTGGTCAGCAAACCCAAGCAGCGCTCGGTGTGGGCTGAGGGTTGCTGTGGCTCGGTGAGCCTGGCTCGGTGACGGGGGCTGATGGAGGGCGGCCTTGCCCACAGCCACAGCAGTAGTGGGCATGAAGGGGTCGTCGTGACATCGAGGACGGTCGGAGCATCCTCTGGGAACAGGAACAGACAAACGGAGGGAGTGGTCCTTGAGTATGATTGTGAGCTGTGCCTTTTCCCTGCCTGTGGGGCCTTTCATTTCCCTAGCTGCCCCTCGGGGTAGTGCGCCTGAAGCTAGAAACTTCTTAGTGGCTAAGCTGGTTTCAGGGGAACACCAACAGTGTGTGGCTTTTGACTTGGGCAAATTGAAGATTTTTAAATGGTTTTTGGGGGAGTGGGGCTGGGTGTTGGAGGGGATTGCCTCCACTGGGGTGGAAGTAGCCCCCAGTTGCAGACCTGAAAACTATGTGCTAGAATCTTGGGGTTCCCCGCCCCAAAGTAAATAATGGTCACCACAACGATTCTTTCTCTCACAAAAGAAAACAGAATAAGCCAGAGCTTGACTAGTTAGCCAAGCCCAGGTCTGTGGGGACCCAGCCAGGGTTCCCAAGCGCAGTGTCACTAACGCCCGCCCCCCTCTTCCAGACCAGAGCTGCTAACCCACAGCACCACTGAGGTCACTCAGCCAAGGACGAACACACCAGGTAAGAAAGAGGCGGGGCGGCCTTCGGAGATGCCGCTGCGCGTTTCAAGCGTTCCTCCTTCTGTTGAAGCTGGGGGCTTCCTCCTTTCCCTCCACGACAGCGGTTCTCCACCTTCCCCATGCCACGACCCTTCCTACAGTTCCTCATGTGGTGGTGACCCCCCCAACCAGAACATTATTTTCGTTGCTACTTCATCACTGTCATTTTGCTACTGTGATGAATCACGCAACCCCTGGGAAAGGCTCGTTCCACCCCCAAAGGGGTCACGACCCACAGGTTGAGAACCGCTGCTCCCAGCCGCCCCTACCCCCCCCATCCCCAATGGGGAAGCTCAGTGCAGGCAGGCACGCTGTGGTTGATCTGGAAACAGCAGCTGTTTGCCCAGGGACGGAGTGAGCCTCCAGCGGCATTCCCGGTTTTAAGCCAAGGCCTGGTTTACCCCAATAGGTGAGCACGGGCATCTCAACCGATCATCGGTTACGGAAGGCACTGGTGAGATACTTTTTCCATCCTTGTTTTAATATCCGGGGCGACCTTGCGCTTGGTGCCCATCTCCGTTTGAACTCGCCACATTTCCAGGGCTGAGGCGGCGCTAACTGCCATGGGACACCTTGCACATTTGACCAGAACCTTTGTTCCTGTGCTGTCGGTTCCAGAACGGACCGAAATGCCCACCTGGATGGAGCAAGAGCTCCACTCAGCGTTCTGGGCGGTTTCGCTCGCATCACGGAGGTCGATCACATCAAGCAGTGTCGTGCAATTGGCACCACAGTCAGGTGCAAATCATGCTCTTTCTCCTCGAACTCCGTGACTCAGCCTCCCACGGGGAGCGCCCTAAAGGGAGAGCTGAACTGCCGAGGAGTCTGCGCGGTGACGGCCGGCTCACGGGCTTCCTTTCTCGTGCCATGTCAGATTCCAGGTTGCTTTCGAAGTAACTGCTGCTTTCGGGGCAGTTCTTGCAGTGACCCCAACCTGCGGCTGTGAGTCAGGTGCCCTTGAAGGAGCACGCAGGCCCTCGAGCTGATGGTCAGTGCTGTGAAGGCCCGCTCTCACCCAGCCCCTCACACATGACCTTGAGAGAGTTCAAGGTTGCAGTTCCTTCTTTCATCAGAACAGAAGCCTTGGCTGCCAGGAGACCAGGCTTTGAGATTTGGGGGAGTAGCAGGTATCTACTGTGGGTGTGCCTGGCCACAGCCTAGTAAATGGTGCACTAAGCAGGCCCTGCAGGGGCGAGTGGGGAGCGTGGCGAAGACCTCGCTGTGTTATGCAGATCAAAGGACTACAGGATACAGGAGTGGCGCTTCTCCTTCGAGAAGGACCGTTCCCAGCATCCCTGCTTCTGGTTGTCAGGCGGAGCTCCTGGATCCCCGGGGGAAAGGACGGCTCCCACTGCTCATTAGCCTGGAGATGCTAGCTGGGTTTTGTTGATTCACGTTTTAAAGTTAAAAAAAAAAAAAGATAAACATTTCTGAAGCCAACAGTCTTAAGTAAACAGCTCCGAGCTTCCCCGGCAGTTGGTTGCCGCTGGCTCGCACTCCCACGCCCTCCCCTGCATGTCTCCTCTCAGCCTCTTTCCTTACCCAGCACTTCCCATGATCCTCCACAGTCTCCCCGCCTCCGTCCCCTCTGCACCCCGCACACCTGTCCAAGCAGTGGCACTGGCATGGCACGGAGACTTTTCTGTCTTCTGTGTGTTTTGTCTTCTGTGTGAATGGTTGCCTTGTAACAAAGCCCGGGAGCCAGCCTGTGGGCGGGAGCCGAGGTGGGCCCCGTCTTTCTAATGTGTGCCCCGTTTATTTCTGCAGGGGAGCTTGCTTTGCTGAGAGCCATTGTGCTCCGCGTGTAATTTAGGGCCCGTCTGTTAGACACAGCACCAGGTGCCTGTGTGGAAAGCAGACGCCAGTGAAGGTGCTCCTGTCGGCCCTGGCACAGGAAGGAGGCCAGGGGTCTCAAGACACTGGGTGCTCTCAGCTCCCCCACGAGTCCCCCCATCCCACCCTCGCTTACCTCTAAGGAGCTTTGAAACCAACTCCTTTTTCTTTCTTTTTTTTTTAGTAATTCAGGGCTGTGCAAGGTTTTCACATCTCACTGTCTCATTGATTTTTTTTTTATTAATAATCATTTTATTGGGAGCTCTTGCAGAGCATAATTGTACAATGGCTACCACCATCAGTTTCAAAGCATTTTCATTCTTCATGAACTGTTTGATATCCGCTCCCCTTTATCCCCTCCCTCCCCCACCCTGCCCACCAGGAACCCTTATTATTATATATTATTATTTGCGGTGTCTCACACCCTCCAATGTATCCGTTCACCTGCAAGTCCGTTATTCGTCCCCTTGAGGGGACACAGCCATCACTGCTATCAGCTCCCCATCCAGCCCCTCTCTTCCTGTGCCCTCAAGGAATCATTACTCCTGTTACTATTTGTGAAGGCTTGTCTATCTTGGCGTTCTTGCATCAAACACTCTTAATTGTGCAATGAACATATGCAGGCCTATCGATGAGCGAGGGGAGACAAAGACCATAATAGTAAGGGGAGGAACCATTAAAGAACTAGAGGATCGTTGTGAGCGTTCGTTGGTGCTATACTGCACCCTGGATATGTCACCCCTGACCATGTGGCCCTTCTGTGTGTTATCTTACAGGTTGCAGGTGGGAAACCCACTCCTTTTGAGCACTCGTTCATGTGTGCAGGGTTTGCCATGTGACTTACAGCTGACTCCTGTCCCCTGCAGTTATTGACATTAGCAACCCCACCCCTCCCCACCCCTTTTTTTTTTTTTTTTTTTAGATTTTATTTCCACTAAGAACACTACTGGAAATGCCTCCTTTTGGACTGAGCCCCATGCCAGCCCCGGTAAGAAGCAGCCACTACCAGGCAGTGTGTTCATTTTTGGTCGTCGTCTTTGCTTTTGTGTTTCAGTCAAAGAAGATTGGAATGTCCGAATCACCAAGCTCCGGAAGCAAGTGGAGGAGATCTTCAATCTGAAATTCGGTGAGTTTAGGACAGCGGTTGTGTCTTGCTTTTTCAAACAGAACAGAAGGGCCATGCAGTGTCCTAGACAGATTCTAGAAATAAACCCAGGCTCTCGCCGCAGGTAGGTCCCAGGGAGTGGATTCTTATTCTCGCCTCTCACTAAAACTCCGGCTGCCCACTGACCAAACCCACAGGACTCTGGCTGTGGGCTCCGGGTTCTCAGAGCCCAAGTGGGAGAGGAGGGGGGCGCGTGGAGTCTGGCCACCCCCGGCATGGCGAGGAGGTTGCAGGGTTTGTTTGGACTTGCGGTGTGTTGACAGCCATTTCCTGGAGCCCTGTCTTGAGGATTCCGAAGAGGCTCTGCAAGAAAGAGTGTCAATGAACTCGGTCCGTCTATCACGGAAGAGGGAGTAAGGGTGGGGAGAGACAGCAGTCTTCCCGGGGCTGTCCCTCCTTTTGTGCTGTGGGTGTGTGGTGTGGCCCAGAGTCAGAAATCGGCCCACTGCCCGGCCTCTGATCTCGCCCTTGATGAGTTGGGCCTGGTTATTCACACCTGGCCGTGCCCTCGGGAAATGGGTCTAGTTCCTGCTCACCTGGAGCACAGAGGCCGTCTGGACCAATCACACAGCCAGCTTTCACATGTAGGACGTCACAGTGTTTAAGAGCACTTGTCTTCTCTGGTAGCCTGTTCTTCAGTTGTGCACGGTGTATGAAAGCCACGTGGTCCACGTGGCCACTGCTGGCTGGTCGGGGGCAAGGGCCTCTCTGAGTTGGGCACAGGGATGTCAGGGTGTCCGTGCCCAGCCGCCCCCTTCTCTTCCAGCTCAAGCTCTGGGCCTGGCCGAGGCGGTGAAAGTCCCCTACCCTGTGTTTGAGTCCAATCCCGAGTTCCTCTACGTGGAAGGTTTGCCGGAAGGAATCCCCTTTCGAAGCCCGACCTGGTTTGGAATTCCACGACTCGAAAGGATTGTCCGGGGCAGTAACAAAATCAAATTTGTTGTTAAAAAGTAAGTTATGTTTGCCCGCGTAGTCGTCTCTAAAAACTTGAGAAGTAAGACCATGGTTCTATTCAACAGTTTTCTCCCCTAGCTACGTCAGTGTTTCCCCCAGCGGGCGATTCTGTCCACTGGGGGTGCTGGAACGATCCAGGGGCTTAGGGGCTGCAGTGCACATGTGGTGGGGGAGCGGGCTGGGAGCTGAGTGAATGTTTGTCTTTGACGAGGGACAGTAGCCCAAGTCGGTTTGGGGACCTCTGAGTGAGCGGCTCGCAGGGCAACTCGGGCTCCTTGGTGGACAGCCCGGGTCCTGGCCCTGTCCACTGCCGCTGCAGAGCAAGGAGGAAGGGACTCCCACCCCACGTGGGTTTGGCTTGATTGCTTCCGTCGGCCTTAAAGGGACGCTCTGGAGACACCCAGCTCCATCTGCAACCGTGTTCCCAGCTCCTGTCGTGAGGGACAGACTGAATGTCTTGTTGGCAGTTTGGTGCGTTTCAGTGGTTCCGAGAGCCAACGTCATCTTAAGCTAGCTTTCTCTTCCCGAAGAGGCCATTTACGATTCCTAAAGTCACGTGGCCGACCTGTGTGGGGTCCGCCAGGTTGCATCGTGGAAAAACCCGTGTGGACAGCCGCGGCCATAATGACTGAGCAGTTGTTTCCCGGGCTGCCCTAACCACTCCTGGTTTTCTCTCCAGACCTGAACTGGTGATCTCCTATTTGCCTCCCGGAATGGCTAGTAAAATCAACACTAAAGGTAAGGGACCACGTAGAAGCTTTCCCACCCCCCCACCCCGGCTTGGTATTAGCGCCATCATGGTCCCAAAGACTGCCCTTCCTGGGACGGTGCCCGTAGCTTGTGATTAAAGACAAACTCAGTCCCTTATGGAACGCCTGCCTGTTCACGGGGCAGCATCGTGGCGGGCCTCTCGTTTGTTTTCTTAGCTATTCATTTAACGGAGCTCTGCCTTTTTTGCTTTTTTTTAAAAAAAAGTATTATTATTCGCTGAAAAGTTCATGTTTGCAATCCTCCTTCATTCATGTTTCCACAGCTTTTGGGGCCTCAGGTGGAGGATTACACTACCAGTTTAATTCTTCAGGTTTCTTTGAAAAGAGCCAAACTGTATGGATTTTAATACTCTGCTTTTATAAGGCACCCTCCTTGTCTTCTCCCACAGTAGGCCAAGGTCACCTTGTGCTTGCCTTCGCAGCCCTGCAGTCCCCCAAGAGACCTCGGAGCCCCGGGAGCAACTCCAAGGTGCCAGAGATCGAGGTCACTGTGGAAGGTGAGGCCGCCTGCAGCAGGTTTCCACTGGCCACACCTCCGCCCGAGGCTCACTCGCAGCCACTCCCTCATTTGTGTGAACAAAGGTGCAGGTGTGCTGGTACACCCCTCGCTGCGTAGCGACCTGTGGTAATGCGGCTGGCTCGCAGCGTGTCTGTGGGTGGAAGGCAGGCACCTTCTGAAGGTGCTTTTCTTCCTGGCTCGAGAAGAGGGCCTCTGTCCCTCTCCCTGTCCTTTCCCGATGGGTTAGACAGCAGTGCCACAGCCACCAGCGCACGGCCCTCCACACCCTCCCTCCCCCAGGCCGAGGGGCCTCCTGCTGGGGTTCGTGGCCCGTGGTTCTGATTTCACAGACACCATTAGAGCAGTGCTGGGTGGGCTTTGGGGCTCGACGATTTCCTCCCTTCTCTGTCTTGACAGACTCGGCATGCTTTCCCTTGGACCCATCTCGGTGCCCGGGCCTTCGGTGCCAGGGCAAGAGTTTGCAGGACTGGTCAGCTCATGGGTCCCCATTTACTCATTTGGTATTCTCACACCCCTCTTCAAGAGATCGAGTGCCACTGAGTCACTGCTGACTCAGGAAAATTACTGACGGGGGTTTCGGAGGCGGGAGCTTTCCGGGAGGAGGCCCTCATCTGTTGTTATCAGACCCCTGGGAGCATAGAACAGAGCAGTGGGCGGGTGGGGTAGTGGGTTACACCATGGGCTGCTAACGGCAAGGTCAGTGGTTCGAAACTCCAGTTGCTCCATGGGAGCAAGACGGGCTCTCCACTCCCCTCCCATCAAAAGTGACATTCTTGGAAGCCCACAGAGGCCGTCTTTGCCCCGGCCTGCTGCTGTGGTTCGGCATCAGCTGGGGCAGTGGGTTCTTGGGGTGTTGTGAAGTCATGTGCATCACGCATAGCAACCCCACACAGTTTTTCTGAGGCTGCACATCTCTTACCCACTGGCTTACATGTATTCAAAAGAACTGTGCAATTAATACCACAATCAGTTTCAGAACATTGTCTTTCTTCCTTCTTGTACCATTAGCTCCCCATTACTCCCAAACCTGTCCTGCCTTAACCTCAAGAAACGGATTGATCTCCTTACTGTCTCGGTTCAGTTAGCCCATCCTAGATGTCTTGTAAAGAAAGCCACACACCAAAAACCCGAACGACAACAAAGCACAGAAAAAACCTCAACCCAATAGAAGACAAAAAAACTAGGACAAGTTTAAAAACTTGTCAAAGGGGAAAACACACAATAGTGTGTTCAATTTTAACCCAACCCCAGAGACTGGAAATCGTCCTGACAGCAGATTGCCTCAGGTGACGGCAGGTTCGCACCCAGCACCCACGTGACCCAGGCTCCTTGGAGTGCATGCCAGAGATCTGCATCAGATGCCGCGGCAGCCGGTATCAGTAAGCGTAGCAATGGCATGTACCGGATTCCCCGTCTGGCTGTTCTTGTCAGATACTCAGCTGATCCGGGCACGGACTTCATCACTGCCCTGACCAAGGACGGCTAGGGGTTTTATTCAGGTGATGGAAATAATTCAGGTCTGGACTATGGAATCTTAACAGAGTCTAGGGACCAGCAGGTGGGTTTCTGGTTCCTCCCCCGGCCCCATCAGGCCCTGCAACCCGAGCCATCGGCTGACCTGGACTTCTAGGATGTTCTTGATATTCTTTTGTACAGATCCATCCCAAAGACTTTGTAATGGTTGGGGGGCATTTTACCACCCTCCCCACCACCGATGACCCCACTGTTCTCAGTCTCCCTGTCGTTCCGCCATAAGTGAGGACAGTGCACAGGAGTGTCCTCGGGACGGATTTGGAATCAGGAAAGGTGTGCACCGGGGTGTAACCTCTCACCATACTTACTCAGTCTGTGTGCTGAGCAGATCCTCAGCGAAGCGGAGTTCTCTGAAGGAGACTGGCATCGGGACTGGAGGAGGGCTTATGTGTAGACAGATGGCACAGCCATGCTGGCTGGAAGTGAGAAGGACTGTGAAGCACTTGCTGATGAAGACCAAGCACTGCAGTCTTCAGCGTGGATCGGAACTCAATGTGAAGATGGCCAGAATCCTCCCAGCTGGACCAGTGGTTAACATCATGATTAATGGGGGGTGGGGGTGGAATTGAAGTTGTCCAGTGTTCCTCTGGAGGACGCACGGGCTCCCGGCCCACGCCATGGTGCTTTCTGTCTCACATACATGTGAAAGCTGTACACGGAATACGGAAAACCTAGGAAGAATGGATGCGCTTGAATGGTGGTGCTGGGTGGGGGGCGGGGGGTGAGTATTGGAAGTGCATGGACTGCGAAAAGAGCAGACAGATCTATATAGAAAGAAATGCAGCCAGAGTGCTCCTGAGAGGCACGGCTGGTGAGACAGTATGGTACCAGGAGTGGGGTACCAGAGAAACAAATCATAAAGCTGGAGAGTGGATCTCACTACGTACTTTGGACATGTTGTCAGGGACACCAGTCCCTGGAGAAGGACAGCATGAGTTTTCATGGGCGAGGGGCTGTGAACAAGAGGAAGGCCTGGACAAGATGGACTGACACGGTGCCTGCCACCACAGGCCCACACCTGGGAACACTTGAGGGGTGGCCGGCGCAGGACCGGGCAGCATTTTGTTCTGTTGAGCACGGGGCGCTGTGAGTCCAGTCGGAGCCGACTCCGTGGCACCTGGCAGCAACATCCTCAGGACATTGGCGGTTGGCCCCTCAGCTTGGCTTTCTAATTTTTAAAATAATCTTCAACTTGCAGTGGATGAAAAAGTGCAGAACTGAGTGTTTCGGCATCAAGACCTGGAATAGCGTAGATGATCTCAAAGAAGACCCTGTCAGCCGGCGAGGGAGTCCCAAGGAGAGCTCAGTGGGTGGGGACGATGGGGACTGGCACTGGACTTCCCACTCCAGGTGGCACGGCCCAGGTGACCACAGGTCCCGGGAGCCGCTCAGACTTCTGCTCAGCCGGAAAGCTGTTTCTCTGGGAGGGTGTCAGAGTGTGGGGCTGTCGGCCCACCCATCCCGGGGAGCCCGCCATGGCGCCCCTCAGCCCAATGCTTGCCTTGTCCCTCCCTCTCCTTCAGGCCCGAATAGCAACAGTCCTCAGACCTCAGCTGTTCGAGCCCCGACGCAGACAAACGGTTCCAACGTTCCCTTCAAGCCCCGCGGGAGAGAGTTTTCCTTTGGTAACTACCTTTGTTCGCTCCTTTTCTTTGAACCACAAGGGTTTGGGCAAGAAGCCTTCCCTTTGCCCCGGGAGTTTTTTGTTTTTTTTTTTAATGTCGGAAGATTGTGTAAGTTGGCACAGACTGCAGAGCCCAAACAGCCGGGCTTTAAATCGCACGCCACTACCTGTCCAGCTTTGTGACCTCGGCCCAATACTTCACTCTCCGTTTCTCGTGGTGGGGGTGTGGGCGGGGAGTGCACCTTTTCCTCGTCTTTTTAAAGTTCATTTTATCGTGTTTCATTTCTCTGTGGCCAATGTACTAGGAGTATGGTAAACCGTGTCATGATCCACGCAGGTCGGTGTAGTCTCACACCTGACACTGGTCAGAGCTCTCGCGTGTTTCGGTTGTGTGCTTCTTGAAGCGGCCCATTGGCCCTGGACGCACAGGAGAGGGGGGTGGCCGGTGCCTGCTAGCCGTGCCCTGGCCAGCGCTACAGCGCCCATTCTCTTCCCTCACAGAGGCCTGGAACGCCAAAATCACCGACCTGAAGCAGAAGGTCGAGAATCTTTTCAATGAGAAATGCGGTGAGTTCATGCTGACCGAGGGTTGAATAACTGAGCGCCGGTGTCCACCGGGAGAAAGAGGGGCAGTGTGCGGTCTCAGTCAGAGGAAAGCGCCGATCGCGAGACTGGACGGGCTTTGCGGCCTGGGTCTCAGGTCCCCCTGTAGACACTCGTATTTGGAGTGTCTGAAATTAAGACGCGGTGCCGAGAGACCCGCCCTGAGCTACACGTGTCTGGGCGGTGTGTAGGAGACGCCATCTTTCTTCCTGTGTTTTGCAGGTGAAGCGCTTGGCCTTAAACAGGCGGTGAAGGTGCCGTTCGCTCTATTTGAGTCCTTCCCTGAAGACTTTTACGTGGAGGGCCTGCCTGAGGGGGTGCCCTTCCGACGACCTTCGACTTTTGGCATTCCGAGGCTGGAGAAGATCCTTCGAAACAAAGCCAAGATTAAGTTCATCATCAAGAAGTAAGGGTGTTAGGTGGCCCTGTGGTGGCCCCGAGGTGCAAGAAGGGGAGCTAGGTCCAGGCCAGCCAGGAGGGGCTTCGCTCGACGGGCTCTGCCTCCCGCCCCACAGCGTCTGTGCACCGCTCGGGCTGCTCAGCTGCAGCAAGACGCTGTCAGTTCTCTGCCTGCATCTCCTTGGCCACCCATGAGCCAGACCAACAATTCAAATGCTCGCCCAGTTTGGGAGGAAACCGCCGGAAAGGAGCTTGAGGTTTCATCTGCCTGGTGTGAGCCTCCAGGGAGATGGTCAGGTCCCCGCAGCGGGGCTGTCTCAGCCACGCCTGGCCGGCCCCTTTGCTTGAGAGCCCTCCTTCCTCAGAGAGAGACTCTTGTCCTCCCGTGCCGTGGTCAGCCACCACCCACACTCCATCCCAGTCTGCACCCAACTGACTTTCTGTTCCAAGCAGGAGAAGCTGGTGCCTGTGGCCTTGGCATTGGGTGGGGGCAGGAGCTTGGCCAGAAGAGAGGGGTCGGGATAGACGTTGGAGCTGGAATTGTAATCTGGGTTTGGGTTGCACTCCGCACTTGCTTCTGAAGGCGACTGCTCTTTCCGTGCTTCCACGACTATGGATCTGTACCTGCCGAAAGGGATTGGTTTCAGTCATGCTCGGTTTTGTAAATATGCTGTTTCCTTTTTAAAGTCAGTTTGGCTGTAGCACACATGGTTATTTTCCTCTCGCCTACAGACCAGAGATGTTTGAGACCGCCATCAAGGAGAGTACTGCGTCCTCTAAGAGCCCCCCACGTGAGTGTCCCCATGCAGCACCCAGGGAGGGAGGGGCACAAGGTTTCTCAAGTAGACACCCGCTCTCCTTCCTCCAACAGGGCTCTTTTAAAGAAACAGTTCTTCAAAACTGAGCCCACACAGCAAATCCCAAGGGTGTGCGTGTAACACAGCTCGCGCCGTGTCCCCGAGCTGCGGGCTTGGTCTGTGTAATTGTGAAAATGTACACACCCAAACACAACAGGCTTCTCTTCCCTGCTTTTGAACAGAAGCCTTGACCCTGTTTTCTCCTAATTCGTTCTAATCTTCATGTCTCTGTTATCTCAAGGAAAAATAAACTCGTCACCCAACGTTAATACGACAGCCTCCGGCGTGGAGGATCTGAACATCATCCAGGTGACAATTCCAGGTATGGTCCCTCTGCCCCCAGCTTTCCACCCCGGCTACTTCCCACGTCCCGCACATGGACACTCCTGCCTGACCTGCGCAGCAGGGGTGGCCCAGAACAGCTCTGCTTAGCCCAACCTCGTGAACTCTGCCTGCTGAGAGAGTCCGTAGGAAGGACTTCCTGGCGAGAATAAGGGGCAGCAGCACTCTGAGTTTCGATTTCACACTAAATCAGCCCAGAAACGTCTTTTGCACTGCGCAGCTCACAGGCCAGAGACGGCCTGGCTGCTCAGGCCCGCGGGGAGCAGCATGCTCCCCTCCCTCACTGAGCACGCCCTGCCCCCACCCTTCAAGATGACGATAACGAGAGGCTGTCCAAGGTGGAAAAGGCTCGGCAGCTGCGGGAGCAAGTCAACGACCTCTTCAGTCGGAAGTTTGGTGAGTGCGCCCTTTGCCAGCGTCCCTTTGACGCCCATTAGGTGATTTTTGTCTCTGGGAGGACTTGCTGTAGATGACGCTTAAGTACTTCCACTCGCTGGATGGAAAAAGACGTCTTACTGTGAAACTGGGGGTGGGGTGGGTGGGGTGAGGAGGGAGGAACAGGGCGAACTTTTTACCTCTCTCCCTACGTGAAGGTGCCCTGTGTTCCGTTATTGTTGGTCAGTGTCCCCCTGGGACAGTTCACGTTTAGGTGAGGCCTGGCCACGTGGGCGGTCAAATGAGAAGGAATGCTTCCTTTGAAACACCCCTCCTGTGGCCATTCATCTGCCGCTGTGTTGTCTGTCTCCCCCCAGGAGAAGCCATAGGCATGGGTTTCCCAGTGAAGGTTCCCTACCGGAAGATCACCATCAACCCTGGCTGCGTGGTGGTGGACGGCATGCCCCCGGGGGTGTCCTTCAAAGCCCCCAGCTACCTGGAAATCAGCTCCATGAGGAGGATCTTAGATTCGGCTGAGTTTATCAAGTTCACAGTCATTCGGTGAGTGAGCGAGAGCTTCCACGTTGGTGGTGAGTGAATGAGGCGCCCTCCCCCAACCCCCACCCCATTCACTTGATAATGAGGGCAGTTACTGCCCCCCTGGTTTTGAAGGCAGGGATTGGGAACCGGCCTGGCCCCACCGCCACTGTGGTCATAGTGCTGTGAGGATGCAGTCACACTCGCTCGCCGAGGTCTGTTGTGATAGGGACAGAGGGGCCTGCACCCTAAAGTGTTTGCATTGGCCCTTTATAGACAGGCCTGCAGAGAAAGGCCTCTGGGCATGGGCTTGAGGCCAGGCAGGTCGATTCCAAATGGGCCATTTGAAGCCACGGCTCTGTGACATGGGTACGATAGGCGTCCCTGCTGAGCAGCCCTTCAGTGGTAGTCCCCTCGGCGCAGCCTTTGAGAGCCACGGTCATTCGAGGAGGGCTTCCAGGGGTTCATGGGTATTTTCCACACGCGTTTTGAAGCATCGCATTGTCATCCAATGCTCTTCTTTCCACCCACTTAACACAAATCCCTGGAGCCTGGGCGGTGTAGTTGGGCTGCCACCCTCACGGTCGGCAGTTCAAAACCACCAGCAGCTCCGAGGGAGAAAGACTGGGCTTTGTACACCCATAAACGTTTGTCGTCTCAGACTCACAGGGGTCACTGTGAGTCAGCACCGCCTCGATGGCAGTGAGTTTGGGTCTGGTTCCAACACAAATCCCCAATGGTCATCACTCTTCTTGGCTCCCACCCCCCACCCCCACCCCCAGAAAGCTTCCTGCTATTCAGTCCACTCAGCTCACTCACTGCCTCTCGGGGAACATCCTCCCCCTGCTAACACTCCCCTCCCCTCGAAACTCCGTCTTGTACCGCTGACCCTGCCACCCTTCCCAGGCGTCTGCCAAGACTCCTCTTCTTCACCACTGACCCAGAGTCCCCCCTGCACTCCCCTCCTTCTCGGTCACGTTTCCCCTGCATCTGGACAGTAGCCCTTTCTAACAGTGTCCCCAACGTTGGGTCCTCAGCACGTGTTTATCCTTCATAAGATGAGAAGGGCCTCACGGTCAACCTCACCAATGTGTCTCTCTCCTCAGGCCATTTCCAGGACTGGTGATCAATAACCGTGAGTATTAGGGAGACGTGCTTGTCCTTTGTCTGCTTGCTTGGTGTGGGTCCCCCAAGATACGTGGTAGGCCACTGACTGGATCAAAGCAGTGACAGCATCAGGCACTTCCCGGAAGTGACCTCAGGCAAGCTCCTTCATGTCAGGACCTCTTGACTGCACTGTACGTGGTGATGGCCGCAGCTCCTGCTGCTGCTCCACCCACCCAACTGGAACAGTGACTGCCCGCCGTGCCCCGACTTCCTGACTGCCCTCTGCCCGCCGTGCCCGACTCCCTGGCTGCCCTCTG